AGGTCACATTTGTTAGTTTGTTCTCTTCTACTCCTAAGCTATAAATTTGATTGTCCTCAGGCTCAGAAACACTCTGTCTCTCTTCATGGCCCTTTCAACTTTTAATAATTGTGCTGTCTTTCAAGTCCTTCATTCTACTTTTATTTGTCTGCTGTAGTCGATTTCTTAAATGCCTTTTCTTCCATTAGCAGTTTAAGGTTGTATCTGTTTTTGTTTCCTCTTTAGAAAAGCATGGTGATAATAATTTGAGTTAAGTATGTCCCTCCCCCATGGGAGGGGAAGGGAAAAAACAAAATGTTTAAATAGAGATACAGATTGACCCATAGCAGCAATGAGCTGTACAAAACCTCTATGTTGAAAAATGAACTTTACAATTTAGGTGGGGAGGGGGGCGTGTAGTTGAGGAGTTGGGAAGGAGGAGGCAACAATTCTGGATAGGAAATGTACTCATTACCTTGCTCATGTGACTGTAACCCCTCTGTACAGTATTTTCACAATAAAAAACATTTAAAAAGAAGAATTTGAGTTAAATTAATTTATCTTGGAAAACAGAAGAATAGCACTAAAAAGGGAAGTGTAGAAAGAGTTAGATGATGACGCCACTGTTACCCTGTGGGCTTAGATTCATTTTACTGGGAACTCCAGGAAATGGCATAAATCACACAATCAGTTATCTCAAATGAAAGTCAAGAAAGCTAGGTTATTAACATACCTATTCCCCAACCATTGTCACCACTATTTCCTTCCAGTTTTCCCTTCTGGGCTACTATGTTTGCTCCCACAATCCCAGTAAATACTTCCACAGCAAGTCTTAGGCAGAGATAAGCAGCAGGCAGATGTAGCGGTCACCAGCAGCACTGGGACAGGTGGGGCACCAGTTCTTCCCACCAGTGCATATGGGCCTCTGTCTGCTATGCTAAGAACTTGGAATCACTTCAGCTTAGCACGATACACAGCAGCAACTCTGCACTGGGTATTAAATGCTGATAATAAAGAGATGCATAAAATGCTTTGCTTTGAGACACTTGTGATACAGCGGGACAACAAAATCGTTGAGGTATCTCCAGACATTTTCCAATATTAAGCAACTGAACAGATACCAAGTGTGTTTCTGGCACACTTTGTACCCATAGTTGCCCTCCTGCCATGCCACACATATCCAGCCTCTAGGGAGTGTAAGAGCTTTTCTTACAAACTCTTCAAATCCTCTATGTTCTCAATCATGGCACTTCAGTCAGTGCAATATATCTCCTAGTTAAAAAGTATATTTTCTAAGGAGATTCTGCCAGACATACAATGAGCATTAAATAAATCTGTGATGAACAAAGAAGACTCGTTCTTACAAGTCCTCTACCACCCTCTACACACACACACACACACACACACACACACACACACACACACGGCTACCCATTAGTGCTACTGTTTTATTTGCCTTTAGACTAAGCCAGGAATCCCCATGATTATGGAAAATGATGCCATGGATGACCTGGAAGAGGTGAGTCATGGGAAAGCTTTGAAAATCTATGGTATTATATAGTAAAGTTTATCAGCTCCTGTAGTGGCCAGTCATGTCCCCTGAAGGACTTCATTCCTTGTCCCTAAGCCAATTCCTTGCTGCTGGAGAGGAATGAAAGCTGAATTGATTCCACAGAAAGAATGGGGATCTCAGAAGGTGTGATCTGCAATTTCAGTCCTTACATTTTCTGAAAACAATAGTTTCAATTCCTAAAATTTCCTTTTAATGGAAATTGAAGGGAAAGTTTGGGAGAAACAAGTGAGAATTCTGGAATATGAGGATTTTGCTGAATGATTTGGTAATCCATTTCCGGAATTCGTTTTTCCCACTGGGAAAACTGTTGTTCCAGAGTGACAAGAGGAAACAAACAGCCCTCCTCTACTATTGCTTTGGCAGTAACAGGCTCAGCAGGAAAAAAATGAAAATGGAAAGAACGTCAACATCTAGGCCCCTCTGCATCTCTAGTCATTGTGACTTGGACTTACTTCCCAGCTCTGACTCTTGCTGTTGTGTCCTTGAGCAAATGACTTCACATCCTTACAGAAACTGGTTTGTTTCTGCCCATTGTTGTTTAAAAAATTAAGTAGAGTATGACCAAGTCATACTTTGGTATATGGCACCAATTAAGTGGTCAGTAACTATGATAGTTGTTATGGTTATTGCTATTGTCTTTTTAATTAGCTGCCTTATAGTCTTATGACTTCATTTAAGCTTTTCAAAATCCCTGGTACAATAAGCACTCATTAATTATCAAAACTTTCCTATTGTTTATGGTGAAAGAAAATTTTATTCTAGTTACTTCTCATCTCGAGAACATTATAAAACATGATCCTGCAGTTGCTGAATATTGCCGTTGAGTTGGACAGCTGCATATAAATCAGGGCTCAAGGAAGGGCTGGGAAGGTGGCTCAGTGGTAGAGCGCTTGCCTTGCATGCTTGAGGCCCTGGGTTCGAACCCTCAGCACCACATAAGCAGAAAAAAGCCAGAAGTGGCGCTGTGGCTCAAGTGGTAGAGCACTAGCCTTGAGCTGAAGAGCTGAAGGACAGCGCCCAGGCCCAGAGTTCAGGCCCCACGACCAGCAAAAAAAAAAAAAAATCAGGGCTCAGATTCTATGCAGTGGTTTGGGTTGTGGCATTTATGCATTATCTAGATACCTGTGTGTTTAAACTGCTATTATAATCCTGAGTAGATTAATAGATTTAAGCAATTTTTCTGCTTCATTTAATCTCCAGAGTTTCTTAGTGGACTAATAGTTTAAATAATACAAATAATTTAATGTTGAAGCTTTTGGCAGGTGGTTTTGTTTCTTATAGGAATCACTTAGAAGCCTGGCACCCATGTTTACAAGTAATGGGAGCTCAATCTAAATGTAAAGCCGTAAATTGCTTTCAAAAATCCTGTTTAAAAAGATACAGTTAGCCTCATGTGTTGCGTACCATGAACGTTTCTCTTCTATACTCGTGCTTGCCTAGGTGCTAACTAAGAAAACCAGAGAACTTTGCTGGGAAATCAGCAAACTATCTCTTTAGAAGTTCACATAACCAGCTACAGGGCTTCGGTCACCTGAGGGTTTTGATATCTTGCCAAACATTAGTAATTCTCCACTAATAGTTTTGTGATCATTGCCATATCTTCAGTGAGTTGTCAAGTTTTCAAGGTCCTTTCACATGAACTTTTTGTTGTCTTCAATGAGCATCTGAAATAAGTAAAGTGTCTGTCATTTTACAGATGAGAGATTGGAGGCTGGAAAGTGTAAACATCTGGCTGAGTCACTATGAGTCAGCAGGGGGGATGCCTAGCATGCCCACCTGAGGATGGAGGAGGCAAAATTATTTGCACACCAGGGCTCCTCTGCTTTCAGAGAGTACTTGAGCGATCGGGGAAGGGAAGTAGCACTCCCTCTATTTCCTCTTGTCTCCTCTAGCCTACTCCTACAATGTTCTCATTCCCCACTCATGAAGAAAGAAAAGAAAAAAAGCTGCTAGAGCCATTTTCTCACACAAAAGACACCTTCAGAACCAGGACCACAGTACTATCCAGTTTGATGTGATCTGATTCCCAGATTCATATTTTAATCATATCTTTAGCAACCCAGAAAACTCTTTCTTCTATAGGAACTGTTAGGCTCTCTTTTGGGTAAAGTATCCATCCATGAACAATTAAATGCAAACAAAAAACACACACACACAGAGCAATGGATAACCAACTCAGCTCATTCAAATTGATCTCCTGGGGCTGGGAATGTGGCTTAGTTTGCCTATCATGCATGAAGCCCTGGGTTCAACTCCTCAGTACCACATAAACAGAAAAAGCTGGAAGCGGTAGCTCAAGTGGTAGAGTGCTAGCCTTGAGCAAAAGAAACTCAAAGACAGTGCCTAAACCCTGAGTTCAAGCCCCAGGACTAGCAAAAAAAAAAAAAAATCATCTCCTAATCTTAGGAAAATATTATCTGGCCTTTTCTCATCCAACAAATCATGACCTTGTTTTCTTTTTCTGTAGTGACATTTTCTAGAAAACTCTCTTCATCATCCTCATACTTTTTCTCTGTTTTCTTTTGTTTCTTTTTTCTTTTATATTTGTTCTTTATTTTTCTTACTTATCCCTGCCTCTTCATCGTCTTTTTCTTCCCCTTAACTTCTTCTCCCTTAATAGGCCTGAAAAATGAAATTACATTCCATTTTACAGTATCTGTGAATAAAATTTTATATTCTGAATCCTTAATACTTAACCCAAGAGAGTTGAAAAATCTGACTTGTTTTTTCCTTCTGTGGTAATTTGCACATTCATTTGTTTAAGCATTAAATTGTTGAAAAACTCACAGCATACTGACTAAGCAACAGCTTTACTGTGAGCAGATATAAATTTTGAGACCTAAAAGAAAGTGATATATCCAAAGGATCCAGACAACTCTAACTAAAACTTCTTTGACCTTCTTTGACCACTCAGCACTAGCTTTATATCCAGATCTCAGCTCACCACTGGGATACAGGGTAAATGCTGGTTACACTGGAATCTCTGAAGGTGAACATTCTAGCACCCTGTGCAGTCTCAACCCTCAGAACCTACTCCACCAAAAACCAAATGCTAATAAAGCTTACAGGCTGGTATATCTGGCCCTAAAACAATTCACAGACCCACAGTGGCAGAATGCCCTTTATTTTTGGCTAGTACATTATGAAGATTTAGCTTATGGTCAGCAAACAATAAGGCTGTAGATAAGCACTGGGACATGTCCATTCAGACATTCTAAGACTAGCTCTTTGGATGGATTTCTTGTTTTGCTTAAAACCCTTAAGTAGTTTTACAAAACGGTTGCAATTCAACCTGTCAGTTTGGGAGTACAATGGTTGCATCTAAAATGGCTACGTTGGTATTTTCAAAATAGATTCTCCCAAGCACAATTGAAACAAAATGGAAGGGATCCATCGCAGAAGGCAGGTCTTTCTCACGAAGCTGGCCTGCCTCCTTCTCAGCCCTCACCTTCCACTTCATCTCCAGCATAGCTCTCTCTGCCTCAGCCAGGACTTGCTCCCTCCTCTGCACAGCTCTCTTCAGCCATCCCACTGCCCTCTCCCTCCTGAGAACTTTCTTTTTTCCTCTGGCTGAGCCCACAAAGCCAGGGTGCATGCCCCAGTCCCCAGGTGTCTACCCCAATTTCCCTCCACACAAGCAGGAGCAGCTGCCCAGGGGCTCATGGGTACTGGCCCCACTCATGGCTACTCTTCTCCAGCTCCACTTTGTGCATGGTTTTCAGGGCTTCCATGGGGCCTACTACCCACATTGACTTCCTAAGTCATGCCTTACCTTCCTGACACAAAGGCAGTAGGTGGTATGTTGGATGGGGTGGTACCAGCATGAGTAGGGATCAAGTGAAAATATTCTTACTGGGTTCCCTTATTGTGGGCTTGCATGCGGGTGGAGCACTCAGATATGCAGCAGCCTCCGTGGTCTCCTCTTCCATCTTTAAGTCTCCTTTCACCTGTATGCTGATTCTCTTCTCTTTATCTTCTGGCCGCCTCATTGTGTCTCCTCTTCAGCTGTCCTGAGGTTGCTCCTGGAAGTGTATAACGTGATTTAGTTGAGTCACAAGGTGCATGTACAGTTGAGAGAGATTGCAATAAGTCTTGAAGATTTATAGTAATGGAGAAAGGGTGGCAACACCCCCATGGTGTGATGTCTTTACCTTTCTGCTTCACTGGAGAGTTAGGACAATTCAGAGCCACCAAAACGGCTTATGAATATATTCCTTCCATGCCCCAGATACTTAGTGATTAGCCCGCGAAGGCAAATATATTATTTCCTACAGCAAAACTATTCCCTATCTAACAATTACAGACCCTTCAGTGGAAGGGTCCATAACAAGTATTTTCTGGTATCAAAAATGTGAAATTTCCTCTTGATTCCTTTCCTGTCTATTCCCCCTGCTTGTGTGCTCCTGGTTATAAATCAATTTTGGAGGCAGAAGGAATAGCCTCAGGGTTCAGGCTGTTCAGGACCCTCAGGCTGGAGGCTCACTGAGTTGTTCTGAGCAGATAAAAGCAAGCACAAGGATGCTAGTGGGAGAGATATTCTTGTTTGCTAAAAGCTCTTGCAATAAGCAGTCCGGAGGCTACAAAGCCTGCTAAGATCTGGACAATTAAGATCTTGATGTGAGGTCAGTTTGTCTCAAAACAGGTCTCTCTAAGGCTAGGATGGTAAGAAATCTAAGCAGCAGGAGCAGCTGCTTGCAGCAGGAGGTGTTGGCATGCATAGAAGGGGTGAAGCGCCCTTCACAGATGCCAGATTGCCTGCTTGTCCTTTACATGCAGCCTGTCACACTCTGACTTGCCTGGCACAATCGCCGATAGGCAACAGCCAATAAAATCTTCCTGATGTCTAACTTTTTTACCCTATTTTAAAGGTAGATAAATGGGGATTTACATCATATTGTAAAAACAGCCTGCTTTCTCTCTCCTTTCTTGGATCATTTTCTTACATGGATAAAAGATTTATTTAGCAAATTTTGCAGCCTTAACCAGCTAGGAAATTCCCCTGCTAACCACAAGGAGGTACTTACAGGCAAGGAAGGCAGACTCCTCCAGTTCCAGTCTCCTCCCACTTCCAGAATACTATGTCCAAGTGGATGCGTGGATGTGGGCCTATAAAGTTTTTCTGCAGCACTTAAACACAAATGCAAACCTTTGCTCTTGTCCCCTCTACCAGCAAAATAAAGATGTTTCTGGCAAAAGCTATATGGCAAAACAGAAGGTCAAGCCTCAGGTGTATTTCCCCATGAACAGATGGAGCCTCTCAAAAAAGAAAGAAAGAAATGAAAGAAAGAAAAAAGAAAGAAAGAGAGAGAGAGAGAGAGAGAGAGAAAGGGAAGGAGGGAGGGAGGAAGGAGGGAAGGAAGGAAGGAAGGAAGGAAAGAAGGAAGGAATGTAAGGCAACAAGTAAGGGTGGAATATGGACAAAAAAATCCCCCCTGGGGCTGGGAAGGTGGCTTAGTGGTAGAGCGCTTGCCTTACATGCATGAGGCCCTGGGTTCAATTCTTCAGCACCACATAAGCAAAAAAGAAAAAAGCCAGAAGTGGCGCTGTGACTCAAGTGGTAGAGCACTAGCCTTGAGCTGAAGAGCTGAGAGACAGCACCCAGGCCCAGAGTTCAAGCCTCATGACTGGACCAAAAAAAAAAAAATCCCCCCAAAGTCATGTTTCAACACTGCCTGTGATGTCAAGTATTCTGCCCAGTTGTCAGACCAAGGATGTTGACTTTTGTTTTGACATCACTGGCCATTGTAAATGAAGCTAATAGAGTAGCCAAATAGAGGAGACGAGTAAGCCAAAAGAAAACCCCGCAAGTGCAAAGAAACCTGGCAAAGTGAGAAAATGATTATGGAATGTTTTTTTTAATTATGTAACTAGAGTTGGAAAAGTTGAAATGCTATTTTGGCTCCTACTTCTCAAAAATAAAGGGTTGATCACCACTTATGCATATAGATATACTCACACACATACATATGTATATTTAAGTTTGGGAACCAAAAAGAGACAGGAACATTTTAAAGAAGGTGTCAATGGAAGCAAAAAAAGAAATAACTATAGAGGAAGCGGGAAATGTCACAGAACGAGCTATGTGAAGACAAAAAGTGAAGGCTCCAGTGCATCTGAAACAAAGTGGAGGAAAGATTCCACATAAAATGAATTTGCAAACAAATGCAGAGAATGTTTTGAAATCGTTTCCCTCTTAGACTAAGATGCTAAAGGTTTTCACAAGGATGAAAATGAAAAGCCCCTTGGGAAAGATGCTATATCAATGTAGACAAGATAAATCATCTTTTAGTGAGCTACCTGGAGTTACAAGAAATGAATCACGAAAATGGTTAAAGGCACTGAATGTGACTTTACCAACTTAAAAAAAAAGTTCATGCAGGGGTGGCGGGGGGAGGCTGGGAAGGGATGTGAAGGGTAAACAAAGGAGAAGGCTGCAATGCTTGATAAGAAATGTACGCATTATCCTGCCCATGTAATTGTAACCCCTCTGTACAGTATGTTCACAAAAATAAAATAAAATAAAATAAAAAGTTCATTTCCTAAGCCCTATATTCCTTTCTGGACCAACTAACAGAATATAAAAACCAGCTTTTGATACCTTATTGGATTAAATGAACTGAATTATTTTTCTTTATTTAATAAGACTGTATATACACGAAGACATGGTTTTGCTTTACTTTGCATTTTTTAGAAAAGAAAATGACATCATTTCTTTTTGGGTTTTGCAGTCCTAGGGATGGAACCAGGGCCTTATTCTAAGCTATGTTCTTGTCCCTAAAATTTCATAATCTCTACATCTCTGCCACGTGCCTGGGTCCTCATTATCTGGAAAAACAAGTTCTGTCCTGACTGGCTTCAAACCATGATCCCCTGGATCTCAGATTCCTGAACAGTTTGGTTCATAGGTATGAACCACTGGCACCTGATATATTTTATCATTTCAATATAGTCTATTCAGTTTGCCTAATACCACTGCTTAAAATTATTTGCTAGCCAGGCACCAGTGGCTCAGGCTTGGAATTCTAGCTACTCAGGAAGCTGAGATCTGAGGATCGTGGTTCAAAGCCAGCCCGGGCAGGAAAGTCCATGAGACTCTTATCTCCAATAAACCCCTCAGAAAACCAGAAGTGTCACTGTGGTTCCAGTGGTAGAGTGCTAGCCTTGAGCTGAAGTGCTCAGGGACAGCGCGCAGGCTCAGAGTTCAGGCCCCATGACCAACAAAAATAAATAAATTAAATTAAATAATTGCTAATGCTTTCTGCTTTGTGAGGCTTTTGGGCAGGATTGGGAGTGTGGCACTAGAGGAGGTAGATATAAAGTAACTGGCTTCTTCACAAGCAATGTCTTCACCAGAAGGATTAAAAACAACACACACCGAGACAAAGAGAGCACAAAGCAACATGTTTCATAGGTGGTAACCATGACAGCATATGCCAGAAAAATCTTAGCTTCCCTGCTTGGAGAGCAGACCTTCTCCTGAGTCACTTTTTCCTCTAAATTCAACATCTTCTTGACAATATCTGAACAATATCACAGAACTCACGCTATATTACCTATCTTAATTGATTAAAAGTTCATGTAGATGAATGGTGGTAGGTACCAACTGATAAATAGTTTGTTGATTTTGTTCATTAGTGTTACTTAAAAAATAGTATACCATTGCCAAGCTTCAGTGCCTCACACCTGTAATCCTAGCTGCTCAGAAGTTTGTCTGAGGATTGTGGTTTGAAGCCAGCCTGGGCAAAAAGTTCCCCTGAGACTCTGATCTCCAATTAACCACTCAAAAACAGGAAGTGGAGCAATGGATCAAGGTGGTAGAGTGCTAGCCGTGAGCAAAAGAGCTCAGGGACAGCACCCAGGCCCTGAGTTCAAGTCCCACAATTGACAAAAAAAAAAACAACTGCACCCTCACTGGGGGCATAGCTCAAGTAGTAAAGCAAGTGTGAGGTCCTGAGTTTAATCTTTAGGATTGTCAAATAGATAATAGAAAAAAATAATTCACCTTCAATAATAACCTAGTGCAATTTTGAAAATATCTGTTACAAGTTATTATAAACATATTCTCCTATTACATGAATAAGCAAGGCACTCATATTTGAGGTGCCCAATATGCTCACAGACAAGAGGGCAGGTGAGAGATCAGAATCCCATCCGCACCCAACAACATTAGCTACTTATTTCAGCAAGTAATAACTTCAAAACTACCACTAAAATTCTTCCAGATGTCCAGAGAGATGTGACATCTGGTGGTTGGTGGTTTAGTTCAATGTCCCACTACTATACACAGTATTTGAGGGTTTTACAAAAAGTGGAGGTTAAATGGTTTCTAAAGATGACTCATAGGTACTGAAATGGCAAAGCTTATGAATCTGCAGATCTTTTCAAGAAAAGTCCCTGGATACAACATTCAACACATTATGCATTCTCTGCTATATCTTAAAGCAAGGAGTCCTTCCAAGTCCCATGGGAGCTACTCTGGCACACTCTGTTGGAGGGACAGCCAGATACACGTTTTCTTTCTCAGATCAGGAACAAACCAGTAAATGCACAAAATAGCTCAGAGGTGGGAAGCCCAAAGTAGAATCTTGGCTGAGGCCATTTCAAAATTTACTGGTTGCTGATGTATATTCTTGCTTTGTAGCCAAGACTTCCCTGGGTCAAACTCAATCTAGATGGAAATAGGTTATTTCACAGATAATTTCTTTTCATTGAGATGGTATCTTCTTAACTTTTTGTCCAGGCTAGCTTTAAACTATGATCTCTCAGATTTCTAACTTCTGAGTAGCTGGGGCTACAGGTGTAAACCTCTATACCTAACCAAAAATAATTTTTGAAAAAGAATTTCTTCAAGCTGAATGAAAGTGGATAATACCTGCTTTCCTAAAGAATTTCTGACAGAAGGAAAAAAGTTGCAGTTCTACTTATCATAACTCTTAATTAACTAGTAACGTTAATTTACCAATGAAGGAAATTACTACAATATGGATGG